AGCATCGATTGTGGCTCTAAGCAAAATGAAGTCCTTGATAGCCGCAATCTGTTCTCCATTTAGCCTGATGCTGTGTGCTGGTCCTGTTGTAAGGACTGGGGTTTTCTTTGAGTTGTAATTCACATTGTAGGTTGCAGTTCTTTTCATCAGCTAGTACTTCCCGTTCTCCTGGCCCTCAGCAAGCAAAGTTGTACCATCTGGATATTAGAGGTTATAAATAAGCTTACTGCTAATCCTGATGCTACGTTCTTCATATAATCCAGCGTCTTGGATTGTTTGCTCTTCACACAGTATGGTGAAGGGCTACAACCTTGACGCACACGTTCCTAATTTTAAACCATGCGATATTTCCTCCTTCTGTTCTAATGGCTGCCCCTTGAGCCATGTACAGTTTCTACCTGAGTATAATCAAGTTTTCTGGAGTTCACGTTCTTTTCAGGGTTATCCATATTTGTTGTTATCAGGCAAATGCCTTTGCATAGTTAATAAAACTCAAGTAAGAATTTTCTGGTATTCTTTGCTTTCAGCCAAGATCCAATAGACATCAGCAATGCTAACATTGTTGAAACATTTGAACTGCGATTCTGTCATTCCCTGGACCCTGGGTTATTCCTAATTCCCCTTAGGGAAGCTTGGATTTTTTCCTTCAGTATCACTGGTTCTTGATCATATATATGCTACCTCTTGAAACGGTTGAACATCAACCCATTTTATGGTACAATGACTCTGTATTCTTTCCATTGTCTTTTTTTAAAAAAAACATTTTATTGGGGGCTCTTATAGCTCTTATCACAATCCATACATATATCCATTGTGTCAAACACATCTGTACAGATGCTGTCATCATCCTTTTCAAAGCATCTTCTTTCTACTTGAGCCCCTGGCATCAGCTCCTCATTTCCCCCTCCACTCCTTCCCCACTGTCCCCTTGGTAATTTAAAAAATCTTCTTTATTTTCCATGTCTTTCCATTGTCTTTTGACACTTCCTGCATCTTTCATTGTTTTTGCCCATAGAACCCTTCCATACTGGAACTTGGGCGTGAATATTTTCTTCAGTTTGGGACACGCTGAGCACAGTCTTCCCTTTCAGCTTTCTAACACCAAGCAAATCTTCTCTAGCGGATCTTCAAAATGTTCCATTCATTTTGTTTACGACACCATTTCGCTTGCTGCAGCCACTCTATTTCAGAACAAGTTCCAGCGTCTCTTCTAACATCCACTTTGGTCTTTTCTTTCTTTGTTGTCTTTTTCATGACTTTTTGCTTTCTTCGTGTATGATGTTCTTGATGTGATCCAACAGATCAAGTCTCCTGACATTAGTGTTCAATTTGTCAAATCTGTTTTCAACCAAGTTGAGACATACATTAAGTTGTGTTTTGGCTCTTGTAGATTTGTTTTAACTTTTCTCAACTTCAACCTAAACTCACATATGAGTAATCAATTGTCTATTCCAGTCAGCCCCGGTCTACTTTTAGTTGCTTATATTGAGCTTCTCCATCATTTCTTCCCACAGATATAGTCAGTGTGATTGCTGTGTATTCTGTTAGGTCCATGGGGTACAGTCACTGTGTTGTTAAAAAAGTTGTTGAAGAAGTTCTTGGTCTTGCAGAATTCTATCATGTAATGTCCAGCTTAATTTCAATCACCTAGGCCATATTTTCCAACTACTGTTCCTTCTTCGGTTTCTAGCGTTTGCATTCCAATTGCCAGGAATTATCAATGCACCTTCAGTGCATGCGTGATCAATTTCAGCCTGAAGAAGTTGTTAGAGTCCTTCATCACTATCCTTAATGGTTTATGCAAAAATTTGAATAGTTATATGACTGATCTTCCTTGTCGGTACACTATTATTTTTTGTTGTTGTTAATCATTTTATTAGGGGCACATACAACTCTTATCACAATCCATACATACATCCATTGTGTAAAGCACATTTGTACATTCATTGCCTTCATCATTCTCAAAACATTTGCTCTCCACTTGAGCCTTTGGTATCAGCTCCTCATTTTCCCCCTCCCTCATGAACCCTTGATAAATTATAAATTATTATTTTGTCATATCTTACACTGTCTGACATCTCCCTGCACCCACTTTTCTGTTGTCCATCCCCCAGGGAGGAAGTTATATATAGATCCTTGTAATCGGTTCCCCCTTTCTACCCAACCCTCCCTCCACCCTCCAGTATCATCGCCATTCTCACCACTGGTCCTGAAGGGATCATCCACCCTGGATTCCCTGTGTTTCCAGTTCCCATCTGTACCAGTGTACATCCGCTGGTCTAGCCGGATTTTTAAGGTAGAATTGGGATCATGATGGGGGGCGGGAGGGCGGAGAGGAAGCATTTAGGAACTAGCGGAAAGTTGTATGTTTCATTATTGCTACACTGCACCCTGACTGGCTTGTGTCCTCCCCACAATCCTTCTGTAAGGGGGTGTCCAATTGCCTACAAATGGGCTTTGGCTCTCCACTCCGCACTGCCCCTCATTCACAATGATATGATTTTTTGTTCTGATGATGCCTGATACCTGATCCCTTCGACACCTCGTGGTCACACAGGCTGGTGTGCTTCTTCCATGTGGGCTTTGTGGCTTCTGAGCTATGTGGCCGACACATTATTATCTTATCACAGACAACATTGTTTCAAGACAGATCTTGAAATGTTCCTTTTGACAATGAATGCAACATTTGTCATTCCCAACATAGTAAACTGATTGTATGATTCAAAATGGCCCATTTCAGCTCACTAATGCCTAGGATATTGATCTTTATGCAATCCATCTCATTTCTGATGACTTGCAACTTCCCTAGATTTGTATTTCCATACATTCCACATTCTGATTATTAACAGAGGTTGGGAGCTGTTTCTTCGCATTTTGAGCTCTACTCCATCTGCAAATATAGGTCCCCCAAGCTTTATTCCATCTACATCAGTATGACAGACTGTACTTTAAGGAGACAGCTCTTCACAAAACTCAGTTGTGTTCTGAGTATCTTCTAACCTGGCGGGATAATCTCAAACAGTGTATCATATGTTTCATTGCTGTTCGTTAGATTTTCAATGGGTAATCCTTCATAGTGGACAGCCTATTTCACTTGCTGGCATGAAATCTGACAATGTTCCAATGTTACTAATAAGGTTTCCTGTGGCGAACCCCAGATGTCAATAGTCTATTTCTTTTTCAGTAGTAGTTTCATAATGAGACTCAAAATGAGAAGCTCTGCTAAAATCTGTTCATTTTGTGTGACTCTGCTGGTATTTAAACCAGTGAGATAGCTTCCAGCGTTACAGCAATATGTAAGCCACCACAGTATGGCAAACTGATAGATAAGTGGTAGCCAGAGGACTTAATATAATGAAAATATCAATACTACCCAAAGTGATGTATAGGTGCAATGCAATCCTGATTGGAATACTAACAACATTGTTTGGAAAAATTACCAACTTTATAAGGAAAGGAAAGAGGCCCTGAATAACCAAAGAAATATTGAAGTTGAACAAAGTGGACTCTTATTCCTCAACCTCAAAACATCTTTACAACTAAAAGAAGCAAGACAGCCTGATGCATAGACCAGGGAACAGAATTGAGAACCCAGAAATAAATCTATCAATATATGGACTACTGATTGTTGAGTGAAGATCAAAGTCTGCTAAATGGGAAAGAAAGTCTCTTTCCACAAATGGTGCTGGCAACACGGGATATGCACTTGCAGAAAAAGGCAACAAAACCCATACCTCACACCATACACAAAAACACACACAATGGATAAAAGATACTTAAATGGGTTTCCAATGAATAGGTTATTGGTCTTGCAAAATTCTATCACACAATCTCAGATGCAGTTTTTGTCACTACGATTGTATTTTCTAACTACAGAGCCTTCTTCATTTCCACCTTTTGTATTCTTATCACTAGTAATTATCAATACACCTTGATCGCATGTTTGATCAATTTCAGAGTGCAAATGTTGGCAAAGGTCTTCAGTTTCTTCATCTTTAGCATTAATAGTTGGTGCATAAACATGAAGATGTTAACCTACTGAATTTGGAGACTATCTCAAGAATACAGTTGACACTTTGAACACTAATGGTCAAAGACCTAGAAAGTTGTGGGATGAGATGTGCAGAAAACAAAAGGTCATTAAAAGGACAGAAAAGAGACAAGAGACTCTGAAACTTGCTCTTGAATGTCAAGTAACCAAAGCAAATGGAAGAACCAATGAAGTAAAAAAGCCGAACAGAAGATTTCAAAAAGTGGCCCAAAAGAGCATTAAAAAGTAAAAGTACTGCAATAAAACATGCAAAATACTTGTAACCTGAGTTACAAGTCAAAAGGGAAAAACACCTTGGGGATTTCTCAAGCTTACAGACCAGAATAAATTTAATCTTTGAGTTGTAATACTAAATAACTCTATAGGTAAAATACTGAACGATGCATGAAGCATCAAAAGGAGAATGAGGAATATACAGCTACTGTACCAAGAATTGGTTGACATTCAATCATTTCAGGAAGTAACATATGATCAAGAACTGATGGTAGTAAAAGAAGACCAAGTAGCACGGAAAACACCGGCAAAAAACAGATCTACTAGAATGGACAGAATACCGAATAAGATGCTTTAACAAACTGATGCAACAAAAATGTCAAGAAATTTGGAAGATATCTACCTGGCCAATTAATGGGTAGTGATTTGTATTTCTGCCCATTGTGAAGAAAGGATCCCATAGAATGCTAAAACTATCAAAAATTATCATTAATATGACATACAAATAATATTTTGGTGAAGCTAATTTAAAATGGTTGCGACAGTACCATCAACAGAAAACACCCAGAAATTCAAATTAGATTCAGAAGAGAACCAACATCAAATGGATCTTGGCTGAAAGCAGAGAGTATCAGAAAGATGTCTACTTGTGTTTCAATGACTATTCACAGGCATTTGACTGTGTGAGACCTAAGAAATTATGAAGAACATTGTGAAGAACAAGAATTCCAGAGCAGTGCTCACTTTGGCAGCACATACACTAAAATCGGAACAATACAGAGAAGATTCGCATGGGCTGTGCAAGGATGACCCACAGATTACTGAACTGTTCCATATTTTTTGCTTTGTGAATAATGCTGCAATGAACATTTGAGTTTGCACATGAAGGAAAAAAAAAAAAGAATTCCGGAACACTTAATTGTGCGCATGAAAACCCTGCAAATAGACTAAGAGGCAGTTGTTAGAACAGAACAAAGAGAGCGCATGGTTTAAAATCAGAGACTACACGTATGTCAGGATATGTCTTCACCATGTTTATTCAGTCTGCTTGATGAGCAAGTAATCTGAGAAGCTGGACTACATGAAGACAAATGAGGCATCAGGATCGGAGGAAGAGCTGTTGAAAATGTGTAGCATGCAGATGACACACTCTTGCTCGCTGAAAGGGAAGAGGACTTGCAGCACTTACTGATGAAGATCAGACACAAGAGCTATGAGTATAGATTACACCTCATCACACATGGACTAATAAGCAAAATCAGCAGTTATTACAGAGATTAAAATCAAAACAATTTGAGATACATCAGACCTGCTAAAAATGAGAGATAAAAAAGCAAAGCAAAACAAAAACAACAAATAGTGACAAGGATAGATGAGATTATAATGCTATCCACTGCTGGTAGGATTGTACAAAGGTATAATTACTGTGAAAAATGGTATGCTGCTTCCTCATCAAATTAGAAATGGAATTACCCTATTACTCAACAATTTTACTCAAGATCTAATAGAAGCGATGAACAGAGATATGCACATCTCTGTTCACCGCAGCACTCTTCATAATATAAAAATGAGAGAAACAGCCTAAATGCCCATCAAGGGACGAATCGCTTAAATAATTATGATACATATATCACAAAGGATAATAATGAGTCCTCAAAGTATTCTATAATGTGGATGAATCTGGAGTAAGTTGAGTGAAGTAAGTCAATGACAAAAAGACAAATATTGTGTTTTATAAAAAGACAAGGAAGGAAATATTCAGAAAAACCAATGTTCACTGGTGATTACAGGGATGTTGGGGAGGGAAAAATCACTCTTGCTAGTACACACTAGTTATTTTTGAAGAAAGAAAAGGTAGCACCAAAATATGCGTGAGATGTTCATGGCTTGTCCAAGATAAATGATGGGGTATGGTTTCCCAAGAAAATGCTATGATACGTGGACAGCCCCACCTCCCCACAGAAGAACTCACTTCAGAGGACAGCACTGAAGCTACATGTCAGGGAGAGGGACATGTCTGATCAGAGCACATGGGAGCAAATGAAAGGAGAGGAAGGGAGAGTGGAGCACATCCTGGCGCACCAAGCCCTGAGGATGATATCCCTGCTCAGAGCAGGCAATGCACAGAGAGGACCATATGGCCGGCCCCACTATGAGACACGATGTCCCTCATTGACCCATAGCTCTACGGAGGACAACACTGGAGACACAGTGCGGGAATTGCGCCCAATCTGACCCCACCACACTGAGGCGAAACACTAAGGGTGTGCAACAGAACAGCAAGGGGAACAGAGCAATGAAGTCCCCAGGGAATACCAAAAATAGACTTTGGGGCCAGGGTGTGGCACCCCATCAGACTGGAGTGGAAAACACTAAAGGTTAACAAACAGACCTTGAACTATTTACAGGCTTTTCTTTTTTTTTTTTGGTCATTGGTTTTGTTGCTTTCTTTTCTTTTATTGCTTTGTTTTGCTTTTTGTGCATATTATTATATCTGCAGGTCTATCTAGATAAGATAGGTGAGATAAACAATCTGGGGGAGAAAACAATGGGACTGACAGTTCCCAGGGGAAATAGGACAGGGGGAGATGGGTAGGAAATGAGTGTTAACAAACCCAGGGACAAGGGAACAACAAGTGATCCAAAATCAATGGTGAGGAAGGTGCAGGAGGCCTGGTAGGGATTGATCAAGGTCAATGTAACTGAGAGGAATCACTGAAACCCAAATGAAGGCTGAACATCATAGTGGGACAAGAGGAGAGTAAAAGGAAAGAGCTAGGAGGCAAAGGGCATTTACAGAGGCCTAAATAAAGGCATGTACATATGTAAATATATTTATACATGAAAATGGGGAAATAGCTCTATGTGCATATTTGTATAGGTCTAGTATTAAGTTAGCAGATGGACACTGGGCCTCTACTCAAGTACTCCCTCAATGCAAGAATACTTTGTTCTATTAACCTGGCATTCCATGATGCTCACCTTCCTGACACGATTGCTGAAGACAAAGTGTAGTGAAAAAAGCTGATGGTGTCCGGCTATCAAAAGATATAACATCTGGGGTCTTAAAGGCTTGAAGATAAACAAGCAGCCATCTAGCTGAGAAGCAAAAAAGCCCACATGGAAAAAACACACTAACCTGTGTGATCATGAGGTGTCTATGGGATCCAGTATCAAAGAACAAAAAATCATATCAATGTGAATGAGGGGGGAGTGCAAAGTGGAGACCCAAAGCCCATCTGTAGGCAACTGGACATCCCTTACAGAAGAGTTGCCATGAAGAGACAAACTAATCAGGGTTCAGTATAGCAATGATGAAACATACAACTTTCCTCTAGTTCTCTAATGCTTCCTCCCACCCACTATCATGATCCCAAATCTGGCTAGACCAGAGAATGTACACTGGTACAGATAGGAACTGGAAACACAGGGAATCAAGGACAGATGAACCCCTCAGGACCAGCGGTGAGAGTGGCAATACCAAGAGGGTGACAGGAAGGTGGGGTGGAAAGGGGGAACTGATTACAAGGATCTACATATAAGCCCCACTGTGGGGGGCAGACAACAGAAAAGTGTGTGAAGGGAGATGTCGGACAGTGTAAGACATGACAAAATAATAATAATTTATAAATTATCAAGGGTTCATGAAGGAGGGGATGGGGAGGGAGGGGAATAAATGAGGAACTGATTCCAATGGCTCAAGTAGAAAGCAAATGTTTTGAGAATGATGAAGGCAACAAATGTACAAATGTGCTTGACACAATGGATGTATGATGGATTGTGATAAGAGTTATATGAGCCCCCAATAAAGTGATTTAAAAAAATGCTAAGATAATCAGGCTACCCTCCAAGAATGAGCAGGTGCATTGTTATGATGTTAAAAAAATATCTTTCGCCCAACTTTCCTGGATCTTGTCTCACCAATACAGCTTTCAATTTTCTTAAGACTTCTTAATAAGCTCCTGTGATTGTCCTGTGTTCTTTGAGAAAATCTATGAAGATTATCCCTTTGGGATTCTAAAAAATAGTCACAATCATCTTCTGAGCTGACCTCTTTAACAGGCCCAGCAAATTCCCTTGAGGGAAACTATTTTGATTGGACCATTACTCATCAAGTGCTAACCACAACAAGGTCATCAGTGTGAAACCACCAGCCACTCTGGAAGAAAGATGGAACTTTCTACTTCCGGGAAGATTTAGTCTCAGAAACCCACAGGAGCAGTTCTTCTCTGTCCTGTAGGTCCCTGTGAGTCAGGGTGGCATGGCAATGGGTTTGAGTTTTCTAAAAAAAACTACAACAGGTAAGGTGCAGTATAGCATGGTGAAACACACAACTTTTCTCTAGTTCTTTAATGCTTCCCTCCTCCCACTATTATGACCCCAATTCTACCTTACAAATCGGATTAGACCAGAATAAGCACACTGCTACAGGGAAGAGCCCGCAACACAGGGAATCCAGGATAGGGAACTGATCACAAGGATCAACATATAACCCCCTTCCAGGGGGACGAACGACAGAAGAGTGGGTGAAGGGTGACAGAGGACGATGTAAGATATGAAAATAATAATCTATAACTTATCAAGAGTTCATGAGGGAGGGAGGGCAGGGGAAAAATGAGGACCTGATATCAATGGGTCAAATAGAAAGAAAATGCTTTGAAAATGATTGCAGCATAAGTACAAATGTGCTTCACACAATCGATGAATGTATGGATTGTATGGGAGATGTAAGAGCCCCCAATAAAAGTATTTAATATACATCTATTAAAAAAATTACAACATGTATATAACTAGAGAACATGTCTGCAGTCATCCACTGATCAGAGGCTCATCTAAACATTTTGTTTGGAATAAATCCATGCTTATATAAACTGAAACCCTAGTAACATTCCTTTTGACTCACCCATGTAAGTGTGTGTGCATAGTCATATACATGATCGAGCACAGATACTTCTTAGACACAAATAGCTCGTGGGATTGGTTTTCTGGACTTGAAGGTTTAGGACTATAGTCCTGTGGGACAACTTGACCAATTGACATAATAAAGTTCATAAAGTCTATGGTCTACATCCTAGTTTGGTGAGTGTTGCCTGGGATCTTAAATGCTTGCGAGTAGTCACAAAACATACCACTATTGGTCTCGACTCACCCAGAAGAAAAGAGAAAGAAGGAAAGTCTACTCAGAAAGGGAACTAGTCTACACAAAATATGTATGGCCTCGGCTTGAAGGTAATCAAGCGGCCATCGAGCTCAGAAGCAACAAAGCCCACATGGAAGAAGCACACCAGCCTATGCAACCACGAGGTGTTGAAGGGATCAGGTGGAAGGCATCATCAGAACAAAAAATCTTACCATAGTGAATGATGGGGGGAGTGAGGAGTGGAGATCCAAAGCCCATTAGTAGGCCACTGGAGATCCCCTTGCAGCGGGGTCTCGGGGAGGAGATGAGCCAGTCAGGGTGCGATGTAACAATGATGAGAAATACAACTTTCCTCTAGTTCCTAAATGTTTCCTCCCCGCTCCCACTACCATGACTCGAATTCTATCTTGCAAGACTGGCTAGACCAGAAGAGGTACACTGGTACAGATAGGAACTGAAAATACAGGGAATCCAGGACGGATGAGCCCTATAGGACCAGTGGTGTGAGTGGCAAAACAGGGAGGGTAAAGGGAGAATGGGTAGGAAAGAGGGAACCGATTACATGGAACTGTGTGTGACCTCCTCCCTGGGGGACAGACAACCGAAAAGTGGATGAAGGGAGACGTCGGACAGGGCAAGATATGACAAAATACCCATTTATAAACTATCAAGGGCTCATGAGGGAGGGGGGAGCGGGGAGG